CTCCTCCTCATCCTCCTCCTCCTCCTCCTCCTCCTCCTCCTCCTCCCCCAACCCGATCGGGGAGCATACGGGTTCTGTGTTTTTGTCGATGCTTCGGGATGCCCCCCCCTCCCACTGGGGATGGAGGTCGGCGGCGAGCCCGGGGGGAAGCGAGAAGGGGCGGGCCTTCTCAGAAGGCTCGGAAGTCGCCCTGCCTTCCGAGAAGTCCTCTCCGAGCTTTCCCCGAAGACACGGGGAGCTTCTCGGAAGGCGAGCGGGCCTCGGACAAGCTCCGCGGCCCTCTGAGAAGACCCTCTCCCTGTCGCTTCCCCACCTCGCTCGCCGCCGAGGAGGACAACCTGGGCCCTTCGGGTTGGATCGGGGTGGCTTGGTGCGTGGCGCGTCCTTGGCAGGGCACGGCGCGCTCGCCGCCCAGGGCCTGCCAGCGGAGCGCGCGGGCGGGCTGCTCGACGCGACGTGCTGCGGCGCGACGGCGGCGGCCCGCGGCGAGCCCTGCGCCGCCGAGCCGCCCGGGGCCGCCGCGTGCTCGGCGCCGCCGGCCCCCCCCCCCGGCGGCGCCGTCCAGCCGGCCTGGCCGCTCGCTCGCGGCCGGCAGCGCCACGAGCGGCCGCGGCAGCTGCGCCGGCGCGCCCTCGGCGCCGCTGGCCGCGGGGGACGGGCTCGCCCCGCCGCCGGCGAAGCCGCAGCACAGGAGGTCCAGGCCGTGGCCGTGCCCGAGCACGCGGGGGCGCGCGGCCATCCCGGCGGGGCCATGGCCGTGCCTGGGCCCTCGGCTGGCACAGGCCACGGGTGGTCCCACACCACAGCTGGCCGTGGGAAGCATGATCGACCCACGAACCCGGAGAGGAATAGGGAAGCACGGAAGGTGGCTACGTTTTCGAGGCACCTGATTGGGCGACGAGCAATTGCGATGCTGAAACTATCGATCGTGATGTACCGTGCCAAAAAGATTATACTCCGCTGTCCTGCAACGAGATGAGTCATGCCACAATGAAGCTCGAACTCAAGATCCGACTCAAATCTGAAGCGGGACGAGACGACACGGGTCGCAGGGCGCATGGACGCGCCACGGAATGTGTCAGGGGCGCACTAGGGGATGTGCCGAGGGACGTGTCAGGGGACGTGGCAAGGAACGCGCCACGGAACGGGCAGGGAAAGCGCCAGGGGACAAACCAGGGAATACGACAGAGGACGAGCCGGGGGACCCGCCGAGAAGCGAGGGGCATACGCCGTCCCGCCCTGGGGAGTCAAGAATCGATGTGCTTTCACGCTTGTCCTGCTCTGGGGCGTTAGGAACCCACGTCTTCCCGTGTCCAGGCCACCCAGGGACGGATATCTAACATGTGGTCGTCCTGGGTGGCCTGGGTAATAAAACAGTGGTTCCAGCTCGGGACCACCATGTTAGAACCCCCCTGGGTTGCCTGGACACATCAAAACATATGGTTCCAGCTCGGGGCCACCATTCTAGATACCGCCCCTGGGTGGCCTAGACACGTAAGAACACGTGGTTCCAGTTCGGGGCCACCAAATTAGACAACCCCCCTTGATGGCCTGGACACACAAGAACACGCGTGATTCAACTTCGATACCACCATGTTAGATACCCCTCTGGGTGGCCTGGACATGTGAAAACATGGGGTTCCAGCTCGAGGCCACCATGTTAGATACCTCTCTGGGTGGCCTGGACACATGAAAAACACGTGGTTCCAGCGAGGGGCAAGAGGCAACCATCTTAGATACCCCCGCCCCCAGGGCGGCCTGGACACGTACACAGACGTGGTGTCAGCTCGGAACACCATGTTAGATATCCGCTCTGGGTGACCTGGACACGTGGAAACACATGGTCCCATCTCGGGACGTACATGTTAGATACTCCTCTAGGCGGCCTGGACACGTAAGAACACGTGGTTCAAGCTCTGGGTCACCATGTTTGCCTGGACATGTGAAAACACGTGGTTCCAGTTCGGGACAACCATCTCACATACCCCACTGGGCGGCCTGGACACGTAGAAAATTGTTGGCTCTAGCGCGGGACCACCATGTTAGATATCCCCCTGGGTGGCCTGGACAGGTGAATACACGTGGTTCCATCTAGGGACAACCATGTTAGCACGAGAAAACAAGTGCTTCGCCTGAGGCATCCTCTGAACTTTGGCCCCCAGGAGAGGAGCGATACATGAGACAAAAGAAACGTTTCGCTCGAGGGAGTCTCAACGAGTTCTGCAAAACAAGCGGTTCTCGAGACGTGCGGAACAAACGAAAACGCGTAGTTGCTCCTGCGTTGTATCAAGCAGTTTGTTTTACCCCCCCCCCCCCAAAAAAAAAGAGAGAGAAAACGACCGACGTTTTTGGGCAGTTGACAGCCTCTGGGTCCTGGGCAATGGATCGAGACCTCCGGGGGTCCACGTCGTGAGACATCACGACGCGCTGGAGTTCTGGGGCGGGGGCGGCAGCAGCGGCAGGTGGTGGGAGACCGTGATGTTACAGTCGGGGCGTTGACCTAAGGAACCCTAAATAAGGAACGAGGCCCCTTTTTTCCCATAAGTTAAACTTCGATTTCCGATCGAAAGCATAAGGAACACATGAGGCGAGCTGTGAAACACTTAAGGAACGCGGAGCCCCTCCCCAACGAAAAGGGTTCCTTCTTCAGGGCCCCGACTGTAGTGGAAGTCCATGGCAATGACGGCGGCAATGGCCACCATGGTCATCGCATGAGAACGACGGAGGCGATTGCCACGAAAATCACGGCAAGAATGATAGATGCGGTGCACAAAAAAAACGACATGATGACCCGAAGCACTCCCGTGAGTGCGTCACTCTGCGGGAGTGTATTCCAGATGTGCCAGACCTCTTGCACGCTTCCTGGCTTGATCAGTCGGTTCAGACACGCCTCCGCCTGGTTGCACTGGTCCGCCACCGTGCCGCAAGGCACTGAGTACTTCCCTCGGGCCCCTTCGATCACAGTAGGGGCCCGACCACAAGAGACCTCCCACGAGAAACCCAACCCTGAACCCCAGGGCGTCCGTTGATTTCTGGCGTGGGAACGCCACGCTTTCCATGGCAAAGCCGTCGAGGCCCCCAAAAAAACCCAGGGCACCCTGGAGGCAGGCAGGGTGTTTCTGAAGGGGCCCTGGGACACACAAATAAATACACACAAATAAAAAGACTCCCCATATTTCCGTAGACTTTCTGGGTTTTGGTCTTCCCCTCCACTTCCCATGTTTACGCATATTTTCTGGGGGATCGACGATTATTTGTGTCTGTGTGTTTTTTTCCCTCCTGAGTTTCTTGGCATGGGCCTCCACTGTGCTCTGCAGAGAGACCCGCGAGGACGCTCCGAGGGCCGGCGCCCCGCGCTGTGGGCGCCTCCTGGGCTGGTGGCGGAAGGATTCGCTCGGGCGTGCCCCCCTACAGGAGGATGTTGGGCGGAAAAGTTCAAATCATATCAAAACAAGAAAACTCCAGAATGCCCAAAAACAGACCCCAAAAAGTCGTCCCCCGACTAATTTCCCCATATCCTGAGACGGGGTTCTTGTGATTTCTTGGACGCCGCCGACTTCTCCTCCTTCTTCTTGATCTCATTCTCCTCCCCCCTCCTCCTCGTACCCAGACTTGCTCATACACAGACTGACTCACACTCAGACTTACTCATACCCAGACTTACTCACACACAAAATTACCCATACTCAGACCTACTCATACTCAGACCTACTCCTACTCAGACTTACTCATGCTGAGACTCACGCACGCCCCGTTCGCGGCCGTTTTGTGGGGATGCCTCAAGCGGTTTGCCTGTATTCTGTCCCTACCTCCTTCGATTTCGGAGCAGATTTGGAAGATGTCTCGAGCGAGGCGCTCATTTTCACGTCCCTCAGGGGAGCCGACCGAGGGTGTTGCACGGTACCGTTCGCGCGGGGCCCGTTCTGTGGGGATGCCTCAAGCGGTTTGCTTGTTTTCTGTCCCAACATCCTTGGCTACCAGAGCAGATTGTGAGGATGTCTCAGGCGGGGCGCTGGCTTCAGCTCCCCCTGAGGGGAGCTGCCAGGGGTAATCTCACGGTCCCGTTCGCGGCCGTTTTGTGGGGATGTCTCAAGCGGTTTGCTTGTTTTCTGTCCCAGCATCCTTCGCTTTCGGGGCAGATGTGGAGGATGTCTCGAGCGAGGGTCATGGGGGAGCCGCCCGAAGGGGGTTTGCACGGTTCCCGTTCGCGGCCGTTTTGAGGGGATGTCTGAGCGGTTTGCCTTGTTTTCTGTCCCAACATCCTTCGATTTCGGAGCAGCTTTGGAGGATGGCTCGAGGCGAGGCAGTCAGTTTCATCCCCCACCCTCTCCTCCTCCTCCTCCTCCTCCTTCCTCCTCACTCCTCCTCTCCTACCTCCCTCCTCCTCTCCTCCATCCTACACTCCTTTATCCTACTCCTCTCCTCCTCGTCCTTTACTCCTCCTCCTCCTCCTCCTCCTCCTCCTCCTCCTCCTCCTCCTCCTCCTCTCAGATCTCCAAGATCCCCGCACGGGGCTCCAAAGACGGGGGCCGCTGGGTGCTCCAGGGTATTCCTGCTCGGCCGGAGCCTCCTGGACCTCCTCTCTATGCGCCACTTCTCGAACCGGATCGATCTCTGTGAAGGTCCCGGGGCCCCAGGGAGCAGAAAGCTGGGGTCTATATAGAGGCCTCCTTGATGGGGTCGGAGTAGATGGGGTCGGAGGATCGCGTCGCATCGCCGATACATCGGCGATGCATCGGCGATGCATCGGTGATGTCCCGGCGATGCATCGGTGATGCCCTGGCGATGCATCGTCGACGTCGGCGATGCATCGGCGACGTCGACGTCAAGCAAATCGGGCCCCACATCGAGCCGCATCGGCGATGCATCGGCGTTGCGGCGCGATCCTCCGACCCCAACTACTCCGACCCCATCTGGGAGGCCTGGAGTCCAGGGCCCCAGTCGTGATTGTTTACCATGCTCCAACCTTTCCGCGCCGTCGGATCTCAGGGGAAGGCGATGCTGAGGGTTGCGGAGGAGATGGCGGTGTCGAACACAACGACGGTGGTGGCTTCAGGGCCACTGCCATGTCGCCCATGGGCGCCATAGGGACGCGGCGCCATCCATGCAAAAGCACCCGCCGCGGCGTCAGTCTGTACATGCCGGATCGGGCCGCCATACCTCGGCAGAAGCATCAGCTGCGATTCCAGAGGAGGAAAGTAAAGACCTTACGACAAAGTGGTGCGCAGAAGGTGGGTGGGAGGAGTCATGAGATGCGCAAGAACGCAAATGAGAAAGGCCGAAGATCCCGAAGCTGGAGACGCTCGACCGCCGCTGGCCTCCGAAGCACAACAGCGTGCCGCATGGGAGGTGAGGCTGCAAGCTGCACTACAGCTGGCGCTACACGCAGCATCGGGCTGGACCGCAGGCGCTCCTCTTGCGCGCCAGAACGATGGGCGCCGTCCGCTGCTTGGCGAGGATGCCGCAGGCGCCATCCCGCAAGTCCACGGTACCGTGTCGCACCCTGCTGCACACGTCTCTCGCGACGCTGGTGAAGGCCTCGGTAACCCCATGGCCTGTCTTCGCGGATGCCTCGAGAAGCAGAAGAGGAGTAGGAGGAGGAGGAGGAAGAGGACGGAAAGGAGAATGCCTCAGAGAAGCGGAGGACGAGGAAGGAGAAAGAGGAAGAGAAGACGACTAGGGAGGAAAGAGGAGAGAACGGAACGGGACGATTGCAATCCATTGCAATATGTCCTCAGAGACGGCTGCAAGCGGGAGCGAAGGGGTGGGAGGGAGGGAGGAAGAGGAAGTGGATGGGGAAGGCAGGAGGAGGAGGAAGACAACATGATCGACCCACGAACCCCGAAAAGGATTGAGAACTGCGAGGCATGGAACCGTTTCTAAGGACCTCAATTGCATATGCAAGTGGGCGATACCAGGGGGGCATGCCAAGGGGACGCGCCGCGGAACGTCCCAAGGGACGCGCCACCAAACGTACCAGGACACGTGCCGTGGGGACGCACCGCGGGACATGCCAAGGGGACGCGCTACGGAACGTGCCAATGGACGTGCCAAGGGACGCGCCGCGCGACGTGCCAGGGGAAGTCGCCACGGAACGTGCGAGGGAACGTGCCAGGTGATGCCAGGGAACGCGTCAAGGAACGTGCCACGGGACGTGGCATGGGACCGCGCTCCCAGGCAAACCCATTTTTCTGTTCCAAAATCGCGATGTGCCTCCCCGCCGCCCTCCCCCCCAGACACCGCGGAATCAGGAAGGGGCAACGCACGGCGGACCCATGAACGAAGCCACTATGACGGGACTGCACTCCCAAGGCCACGATCTCTCGTAAATTACTCTGCGTCCGCTCTCCCTGGGCTACGATTACTCGTGGACTACACTGCGTCCGCGCTCCCAAGACAACGGTCCATCTTAAATCACGCGGCGTCCGCGCTCCTGGGGCCGCGATCCCTTGCAAATTAAACAAGAGTCACGCTCTCAAGGCCAAGTTACGTGAGAGGTACGCTGGATTCGCAGGGCCACGATCCTTCGGAAATTACTCAGGAGTCACGCTCCAGGGCCACGGCCACTCGTAACTTACACGGGGTTCGCGCTCCGAGGGCCACGATCCCTCGCAAATTACGGTGGGCTCGCGCTCTCAGGGCCACGGTCCCTTTACAAAGTACGACGCTTGCCCGCGTTCCCAGAGCCACGTTCACCAGTATATTACTTTGCGTCCGCGCTCCCAAAACCACCTGGGCATCCTGGGGCGCCCAGGCCGCTCAAGCTCTGCCAAACAGGCGTTTCGCTGGAGGCGTCCTCAGAGACTCGGCGCGCAGGGTCCGCCATCGTTGAGCGGACACACAAAAATCAGACGTTGTTGATGTTCTGATAAATCCCAAAACCTCCTGACCTCATGATTTACATTGCCGTGGCAAAAGTATTATGCGGTCTTCATTCAACATGACTCAAGACTGGCGGAGTAAACGGAGTGGAGGGAATAGAAATTACTCCGCGTGGACATGCATCCCGTTCCGTTTTTCATGTAGGAGTGGGCGGGGTAATGTCCGATCCTGTTTTGAGATAACAATGTTATTACTTAGAGGTAGACGAATTACTCCGCGGGATCGCGGAGGACGCATGTCAACGTTAGGAGCCTTCAGAGGGATAAGAGATTCCAGCATATCATCAAGCCGCATAATATTTTGTCACGGCGGTGTGTAGGTTTGCCGTTGTCTCCATCGACGGATCCACCTCGAACGCGGCGCTGCAACGGCAGCGCAACTCGCGCAGGGACATCATCCGACTATGCTCCGCGCGGCAGTCTCAGTCCAGCAAGTCCTCGAAACGGTGCACGACGACGACGACGAACGCCACCGCTTCACCCCTGTCGGCGCGAACATGCATCGCCTAGCCTGAGGTGGATGCAGCTGAAGAAAAGCGAAGTGCAACGCATTTGTCCCCATGTAGTGTTGCCGTTGTCTCCATCGACTGGACTCCCTCGAACGCGGCGCTGCAACGGCAGCGCAGCTCGCGCAGGGACATCATCCGACTATGCTCCGCGTGGCAGTCTCAGCCCAGCAAATCCTCGAAACGGCGCACGACGACGACGACGAATGCCATCGCTTCATCCCTGTCGGCGCCAGCATACATCGTCTAGCCTGAGGTGGATGCAGCCGAGGAAAAGCGAAGTGTAACGCATTTGTCCTCATATGGTTGCCGTTGTCCCCATCGACGGATCTTCCTCGAACGCGGCGCTGCAACGGCAGCGCAGCTCGCGCAGGGACACCATCCAACTATGCTCCGCGCGGCAGTCTCAGTCCAGCAAATCCTCGAAACAGTGCACGACGACGACGACGAACGCCACCGCTTCACCCCTGTCGGCGCGAGCATACATCGTCTAGCGTGAGGTGGATGCAGCCGAGGAAAAGCGAAGTGCAACGCATTTGTCCCCGTGTAGTGTTGCCGTTGTCTCCATCGACTGGTCTCCCTCGAACGCGGCGCTGCAACGGCAGCGCAGCTCGCGCAGGGACATCATCCGACTATGCCCCGCGTGGCAGTCTCAGTCCAGCAAATCCTAGAAACGGTGCACGACGACGACGACGACGAACGCCATCGCGTCATCCCTGTCGGCGCGAGCATACATCGTCTAGCCTGAGGTGGGTGCAGCCGAGGAAAAGCGAAGTGCAACTCATTTTTCCCCATATCATGAGTTCTGCGCGAAACGCTCCGCACCCAATTTCTTACAAGGGAAAACCTGTGCCTGCGGACCCCGCTATTTGCAAGATGTGGGGCACATGTTCCTGGAGCGGGCACACGCGAAACACATTTACCCCCCCACAAATAACTCCGCCGTCGCACATGTTCCTCGAGCGGGCACGCGCGAAACGCATTTTTGTCAAAACAAAAGTCAGACTTTACTTTGTTATCTATCGCAGAAGATGTCCGCCGGCCCACTTCAAGCCGATTCCAGGGATAAACCTACATAGAACCCTGGGCCAGAGCCCCTTTCCAGGAAAAAAATAAAAGGAGGAGGAGGAGGAGAAAGAGGAGGAGCAGAGGAAGAGAGGAAGAGAGGAAGAGAGGAAGAGAGGAAGAGGAGCAGGAGAAGAGGAAGGGAAAGGAGGAGGAGGAGAAGAGGAGAAGAGGAAGGGATAAGAGAAGCGAATCTTCGCGGAAGCCTCGAAGAAGAGGAGCCCGTGCCGCTCGGCGAAGGCGGCGCCCTCCTCTGTCGGGACCGCGCGGTGGCGCAGGTCGCGCTTGTTCGCGACGAGCGCAATCGCCATGCCGTGACCGTGGCCGGCAGGGAGCTGGCAAGAGGGGCACTTGGTCTCGACATCCTGCGAACAGAGGGGGGGAGGGGGGGACAGGGCCCTTCTGTCCCTTCCTCTCCCCCTCCCCCCCTCCCCCTCCGAGGGGAGAGGAAGGGGGAGCGGGGAGGGGACGGGAGGGAAGGGCGGGTAGGGGAGGGGGATGGAAGGGAGGAAGGGGAGGCAGGGAGGAGGGAGACAGGGAGCGACCCGCGGACATCCTCCAGCCATCCGAGCACGTTCTCGAATGTGTCGCGCCTGGAGGCGTCGTAGACCAAAAGGGCACCTCGGGAGCCACAAGGAGAAACGTGCACTACGCCTTGGCAGACCTGGACGGAGGGAAAAAGGGAAGTGTGATGACGAGGAGAGGGGAGGAGGAAGAGCAGGAGGACGAGGACGAGGACGAGGGCGAGGACGAGGACGAGGACGAGAACGAGGAGGACGAGGAGGAGGGCGATCACGATGACGACGACGACGACGACGACGACCGCGAAGACGGCGACGACCGCGACCACTGAGACCACCAAGACCACAACCAGGACAGACCACGACGACAAGAAGAGGGCAGGGCGGGCGCCCGCCGCCCCTCGGTAGTAGGAGCGCGTCACGGAGCGGAAGCGCTCCTGCCCGGCGGTGTCCCACACCTGCGGCGCTCGAGGCCGCGTCGTCCTCCTCCGCCTCCCCAATCTTCTGCCCTCCTGCGCCTCGTCGTCGTCACCGCGGCCGTCGACTTCGTCCTCCTCCTCCTCCTCGCCCTCCCCCTCCTCCTCCTCCACCTCCTCCTCCTCCTCCTCCTCCTCCTCCTCGCCCTCCCCCTCCTCCACCTCCTCCTCCTCTTCCTCGCCCTACTCCTCTTCCTCGCCCTACCTCCTTCCTGCGTCGCTGTGCGCAGCGCGCAGCGCCCGCCCTGCCTGCCCTCCCACCCCCCGACTACCCCCCCTAACATTTCATCTTGCGTCCACATCCCCGTCCTCCTCCTACTCCTCCACCTCCTCCACTCTCTTTTCCTCCTCCTCTCCTCATCCCCCCACCTAATCTCTCCTCAAAACACTCTCCTCCTCCTCCTCCTCCTCCTCCTCTCCCGCCTCCTCCTCCTCCGCCTCATCCCCTCCCTCTACTCTACCCCTCCCCCTCCTCCTTCCTCCGCTCTTCACATCACCAGCATTCATCACTATCATCAGCTGCATCGTCACCAGCACCACACCGCCACCACACGACACCCACCCCCAACACCACCACCACCACACCAACATCATCATCATCATCATCATCATTCATCATCATCAGCATCATTCCATCATCATCATCATCTAGTAATCATCATCATAATCACAATCATCGTCGTCGTCGTCGTCGTTGTCGTCGTAGTCGTCGTCATCATTCATCACATCATCATCTCATCAGATTCATAATCCATCATTCATCATCATCATCATCATCATCATCATCAGCATCAGCATCAGCATCAGCATCAGCATCATCATCATCATCATCATCATCTTCATCATCATCAATATCATCATCATCATCATCGTCATTTCATCGTCAGTCGTCAATCATCATAATCATCATCATCATCATCATCCTCATCCGCATCTCATCCTCATCCTCATCATCATAATCTCATCATCATCATCATCAGGCATCAGCATCATCATCATAATCATCATTCATCATCATCATCATCATCATCATCACCATCATCCACATCTCATCATAATCAGCATCATTCATCATTCATCACATCTTCAATATGGGGTTCTAATCATCATCATCATAACCATCATCATCATCATCATCATCATCATCCTCATCCTCATCATCATCATCATCATCCTCATCATCATCATCATCATCATCATCATCATCCTCATCATCATCATCCTCATCATCATCATCATCATCATCATCAGCAGCATCAGCATCAGCATAACCATCGTCATCAGCATCACCATCATAATCAACATCATCATCCTCACCATCACCATCACCATCATCATCATCATCATCCTCACCATCACCATCACCATCATCATTATCATCATCATCATCATCATCGTCATCATCATCATCATCATCATCATCATCATAATCATCATAAGCATCATCATCATCAGCAGCAGCATCATCAGCATCATCATCATCAGCCGCAGCATCATCAGCATCGGCATCATCATCACCATCACCACCACCACCATCATCATGATCAGCATCATCGTCGTGATCAGCATCGTCATCATCACCATCAGCATCATCAGTATCATCATCAGCAGCATCATCATTATCATCATCAGTATCAAAATCATCGTGATCATCATGAGCATCGGCATCAGCATCATCATCATCAACAGCATCATCAGCATCGTCATCAGCACCGTCGTCATCACCACCGTCAGCACCACCACCATATCCACGATCATTATCATCACCACCACCATCCTCATCGTCACCATCATCACCATCAACATCATCATTACCAGCATCATCATCAACAACATCACCAGCATCGTCGTCATCATCGTCGTCATCACCACAATCAGAACCAGAACCATCCCCAAGATTATGACGAACACCACCACCATCCTCATCGTCACCATCATCACCATCAACATCATCATCACCAGCATCATCATCATCATGATCAACATCATCATTATCGTCAGCATCATCAGCATCATCATCAGCATCAGCATCGCCATCATCCTCATACTCATCATCATCATTGTTATCATCAGCATCAGCATCGCCATCATTGTCATTCTCATCAGCATCGTCATCATCAGCATCATCACAATCATCATCATCATCAGATTCACCATCATTATCATCAGCATCGTCACCATCATCACCAACATCATCACCATACTCACCATCATCGTGGTCGTCATCATCATGAGCATCGATATTACCGTCAGCAACACCATTACCAACACCAGCATCACCACCACCACCATCTCATCATCGACGCCATAATCATCATCACAACCACCACCACCACCACCATCATCATCATCATCATCACCATCACCATGACAATCACAATCCACATTGACATCACCATAATCACCACCACCACCATCATCATGATCATCGTCATCGCCGTCGTCATCATCATCACCACCGCCACTACCAACATCATCATCAGCATCATGTTTATCATCACCACCATCATCATCAGCAACAGTAGCGTGATCATCACCATCACAATCAACTTCCCCATCACCATCACCATCATCACCACCATCATCATCATCGTCGTCATCATCATAATCGGCATCATCAAAACCACCTTCATCAGAATCACCATGATCACCATCACCATCGGAATCACCATCACCATCACCATCAGCACCACCACCACCGGCATCATCAGTGCCATCATCATCATCATCATCATCATCATCATCATCATCATCAGCATCAGCATCGTCATCAGCATGATCATCACCATCATCACCATCATCATCGTCATAGTCACCGTCATCGTCATCATGATCATCGTCATCATCATTAACATCATCACTATAATCATAATCATCGTCATGATAATCATCGTCATCGTCGCCGTCGTCATCAGCACCATCATCATCATCATCATCATCGCCACTACCACCACCATCATCATCACCATCATCGTCACCAGCATCCCCATCACCATCGCAATAACTATCACCAACACATCACCATCACCACCACCACCACCATCTCCACCACAACCACCACCACCATCATCATCATCAGCATCATGATTATCATCATGATCATCGTCGTCGCCCTCGTCACCACCACCACCACCATCGGCATCATCCTCCTCAGTATCATCATCATCATCATCATCATCATCATCATCATCATCATCATCATCATCATCATCATCATCACCGTCGCAATCACCATCACCATCAACATCATCACCACAACCACCATCATCATCATCATCATCAGCACCATAATTATCACCATCGCAATCACAACCACTATCACCATCACCAGCAACATCACCAGTATCACCACCACCACCGACATCATCATCTTTAGCATCATCGTCATCATTACCAGCACTATCATCATCACGATCATCATCATCGTCGTCGTAAGCATCATCACCACCGCCACCATCATCATCATCATCATCATCATCAGCATGATCATGGCACATCGCAATCACACTCACCATCACCACCGCCATGATCACCACCACCACCATCATCATCGTAGTCGTCGTCGTCATCATCGTAGTCGTCATCATCATCCTCATCATCATCACAATCACCATAATCATCATCACCATCAAAAGTATCATCATTTCCACCATCATAATCACCATAATCATCGTGGGATCAGCACCATCATCATCATCATCATCATCATCATCATCATCATCATCATCATCATCATTATTATCATCACCATCATCATCGTCGTCGTAATCATCATCACCACCATCACCATCATCATCATCATCAGCATTATCATGACACATCGATATCACCATCACCATCACTACCACCATCATCGCCACCACCACCCCCATCATCATCGCAGTCGTCGTCGTCATCGTCGTCGTCATCATCTTCACCATCATCACCACCACCAGCATCATCATCATCGTCATCACCACCACCATCGCAATCACCATCACCATCGCCATCGCGTTGACCATCATCACCAGCACAACTATCATCATCAGCATCAGTCATCATCATCATCATCATCATCATCATCATCATCATCATCATCATCATCATCCTCGTCACCACCACCATCACCACCACCACAAGCATCATCATCGTCACCATCACAAACACCATAGTCGACATCATCATCATCATCAACATCATCAGTATTATCATCAGCAACATCATCATCATCATTATCATCGTCATCATCAGCATCATCATCATCATCATCATCATCATCATCATCATCATCGTCGTCATTAGCATCATCGTCATCTCTCCCTGGGGACCGTCTGTGCGCGTTTGCCGCTCGGCTGGGCTGCTCGGTGAACGCTGCAACCGCGGTGGCTTGTGCCTCTCCGCTCTTTCTCCGGACCTGGGTCATTGGACACAGGCAAGTCCAGGCTCCTCATGGAGGGTAGAATGAGAAACGTGGTATAAGAGTTGAAAATTTCTGAAACCCTGGGGGGACGCTTGAGGCCTGCAAGAACCAACTCGGGCATCGTCGGAGGCCTCCTGAGACTCCCGGAACCTCCCCCGAGATCATCCTCTTCCTCCTCCCCCTCCGTCTCCTCCTCCTCCCCCTCCTCCTCCTCCTCCTACTACTACTACTACTCCTCCTCCTCCTCCTTCGTCGTCGTCGTCGTTATCATCCCCCTCCTCATCTTCCTCCTCCTCCTCCTGCTTCTCCTCCTCACCTCCCCTCATCCAAGCCTCCTCCTCATCATCCTCCTCGACCTTCTCCTCTTCTCATTCTCATCCTCACCCTTCTCCTCATCATCCTCACCTCCCCCTTTCGCTGGAGGAACCTGCAGCTTGATCACGACCCCGTCGACGACCACGCAGCGGGAGGCAAACTCCACGCCGACAGTGGCGGGAAGGGGTCCAAAGCTGCCGTCGATGAAGTGAGAGAGCAGCGACGACTTCCCAACTCTCGAGTCACCAATCAAGAGGAATTTGAAGAGGTACGCGTAGTCCATGGGCGGACGATAATGTTACGACGGCGTGTGCAAATTCTATGCTCTGAAGGACTATCGAGCCAAACTGACCTCGTGATGGCCATGACGACGCCTGTCAACTGGCACTGCCAGAACATCGCATGATCCTTGTCCGCGAGGTTTACTGAAACGCATTACTGAAAGCAAGAAAGCGACTCTGGAGGAATGGAGAACGGAGAGAGAGGGAAGGATGCTGCGCTCCTCCCCATCCTCATCGTCCTCCTCCTGCTCGATATTCGATGCCTCCTACGCCTCCTCCACCTCCTCCTCCTCCTTCCCGTCCTCGCTGTTCTCCCCGATAGTAACAATCAGAATCAAAATCAGCATCGTCGTCATCATCATCATCATCATCATCATCATCATCATCATCATAAGCAGCAGCAGCAGCACCATCATCATCATGAACATCATCATCAGTAGCAGCAGCATCAGCAGCAACAGCGTCGTCAGCATCAGCATCATCAGCATCATCATCACCATCATCATAGTCATCCTCATCAGAATCATCATCAACATCATCAGCATCATCAGCATCATAATCATCAGCAGCAGCAGCAACGTCAGCCTCATCATCATCAGCATCGGCATCACATCAGCTTCAGCATCAGCATCAGCATCAGCATCAGCATCATCAGCATCACATCATCACCAGCAACAGCATCAGCAGCAGCATCAGCATCAGCATCAGCATCAGCATCGTCATCAGGTTCATCATCACCACCACAATCAGCATCATTATTACTCTCATCATCGCCACCAGCATCACCAACACTTTCATCATCATCATCACCACCACCATCACAACCACCAGCATCATCACCAGCAACGTCACCCTCACTATCACAACCACCACCACCACCATCATCATCAGCACCATCATCATCGGCATAATCGTGATGGTCATCATCATCATCATCATCATCATCATCATCAGCATCATCATCATCATCATCATCATCATCATCATCATCATCATCATCATCAGCATCCTGATCATCATCCTGATCATCATCATCATCATCATCATCAGCATCAGCATCATCATCATCATCATCATCACCATCATCGGCATCATCATGATCATCATCAGCAGCAGCAGCAGAAGCAACATCATCACCACCACCACCATTATCAGCATCATCATCACCATCGTCATCATCATCATATTCACCATCTCTGCATCATCATAATCATCATAAGCATCATCATCACCACCACCATCATCATCAGCAGCAGCATCAGCATCAGCATCGTCATCATCATCATCATCATCATCATCATCATCATCATCATCATCACCAGCAGCAGCAGCAGCACCAGCATCATCATCATCATAACATCATCAGCATCAGCATCGTCATCATCAGCAGCAGCATCATCATCATCTCCATCATCATCATCATCATCATCATCATCATCATCATCATCATCATCATCACTGTCATTATCATCGTCGTCATTATCATCACCACCACCACCATCATCATCATCATCATCCTCATCATCATCATCACCACCACCATCATCCTCATCCTCATCATCAGCATCATCATCATCATCAGCATCATCATCCTCATCCTCATCCTCGTCATCATCATCATCATCATCATCATCATCATCAGCATCCTGATCATCATCCTGATCATCATCATCATCATCATCATCATCATCATCAGCATCAGCATCATCATCATCATCATCATCATCATCATCATCATCGGCATCATCATGATCATCATCAGCAGCAGCAGCAGCAGCAGAAGCAACATCATCACCACCACCACCATTATCAGCATCATCATCACCATCGTCATCATCATCATATTCACCATCTCTGCATCATCATAATCATCATAAGCATCATCATCACCACCACCATCATCATCAGCAGCAGCATCAGCATCAGCATCGTCATCATCATCATCATCATCATCATCTTCATCATCATCATCATCATCATCACCAGCAGCAGCAGCACCAGCATCATCATCATCATAACATCATCAGCATCAGCATCGTCATCATCAGCAGCAGCATCATCATCATCTCCATCATCATCATCATCATCATCATCATCATCATCATCATCATCACTGTCATTATCATCATCATCATCATCCTCATCATCATCATCACCGCCACCATCATCCTCATCCTCATCATCAGCATCATCATCATCATCAGCATCATCATCCTCATCCTCATCCTCGTCATCATCATCATCATCATCATCATCATCATCATCATCATCATCATCATCATCATCATCATCATCATCATCATCATCATCATCATCATCATCATCATCATCGTTCCCTTTTTTCCTCCCCCTAAGTCTGCCCGGGGGTGGTGCACGCGTCTCCTCGTGGCTTCCGAGGTGCCCTCTTGGTCTACGACGCCTCCAGGCGCGACACATTCGAGAACGTCCCCCCAGACATGTGATGCCTTCATGTTGTCACTACGGGGTCCCCAGAAGTCCCGACCAATTCTTCATCCTGAATCCTTTGTTGACGGTCCCGGGGCCGAAAACAAACAACCTTGTACCGCCATTCTTTTGTTCGACCCGAGCATGTCTGGGCCCCGTCCTCCTCATCATCATCCTTCCCTTCCCTGAGATCCGACGGCGCGAAAAACAAACAAAAACAAAAATGTTGACAAAAAACATCACGATTGGAGCCCCAGACCCCATCTTTCTGCGCCATCTGTAACACTGGATCGATCTGTGATGGTCCGGGGGCTCGAAATGAGGTAAACTCGGCCGTTGTGAAAAAAATGCGCACCAAAATCTCAGGGTTCCTCCTCCTCCTCCTCCCCCTTCGCCGGACGAGGACGGGCAAACCAATAGGTACCGATACCGCTACTCCCTGGACCTCTCCCAGGACGCGTTCGGACCAGAATTTCGAGGCGAATCCAGCCGTGGCGACGAGGACCTCCCAAGAGTCGCGAACAGGAGAAAACGGAAGGGTAGCGGCGGTATGAGTACCTTTTGGAGGCCTGAAATATGGGCACCAACATCAACACAGGGGAGTTGCCTCCACATGGGGAAGATGATCCTAGATTTCGGTGTTGGTGGTACTGTGTCGGTCACCTTGGAAGCCAGGATATTGCCACCATCACCGAGATCGGGATCGTCCTCCCTCGGTGGAGGCACACCGCCGATCTTGGTGCTGGTGTCAACCTCTAGGCCCGCGAACCTCTACCGCCTCTGGGAGAGAAGGACGAGCTCGAGGCGGCTCTGGACGCTCCTCGGCGGGCCCTCTCCGCGCCGCGACGCCCGCCGCGCGCCCCCACTCCAGGCGCAGCACGCCCGCGCCCTCTGGCCCGCCCCCGCCGACGGCGCCCAGGAGCAGCGGGCGCCCCGGCAGCGGCAGCGGGGCGGGGAGCCCCTCCACCCGCACGGCGTGGTCTAGCTGGCCCACCTCCTCTCGATGATCCTCAAAACGTCTTGAGAGGAGGAGGAGGAGGAGGAGGAGGAGGAGGAGGAGGAGGAGCGGGAGGTGGAAGAGGAGCAAGCGGAGGAAGAGGAGCAGGAGGAGGGGGATCACGCTACCGCTGCTCGTCCAGGAGAGCCCCCGTCGCCGCGATTGGGTTATCCTCGAAATGCTGGTTTGCACTCGCCCCAGGAGAGGTCTGGGGAGTGGCGGCATCGGACTTGTTTTGTCCCCCCTGGACAGGGTGGGAAGCCATTTCGCGTCCAAGTCTTCGCATCGGGAGGCCCTTACTTAGAAGAGGGCGGACCACGCCAGGGGGAGGGTCACCGCTGTCTCGGCAGGCCCTCCTCCTCCTCCTCCTCCTCCTCCTCTCCTGCTACTGCTCCTGCTCTCCTCCCTCCTCCTCCTCCTCTCCTCCTCCTCCCCTCCCTCTTCCTCCTTCTCTCCTCTACCTCTCCTCTCCTCCCTCTCTCCTCCTCCTCCTCCTCTCCTCCTCCTCCTCCTCTCCTCCTCCTCTCTCCAGCATCACAGCAGCAGAAGTCATCAGCATCATCATCATCATCGTCATCATCATCATCATCATCATCATCATCATCATCATCATCATCATCATCATCATCATCATCATCATCATCATCATCATCATCATCATCATCATCATCATCATCATCATCATCATCATCATCAGCATCATCATCATCATCAGCAGCAGCAGCAGCAGCAGCAGCAGCAGCAGCAGCATCATCATCATCATATATCATCATCATCATCATCATCATTCATCATCATCATCATCATCATCAACAACATTATCCTCTTCATCCTCCCAGGGCTCTACCTCCTCCTCCTCCTCCCTCCTCCTCCTCCCGGGGCTCTGCCTAAACAGTGTTGTCTGTTGTTTCCATGTTGCTGTCGTTCTACCTCGTTCTGTCTTCGCTCCGCCTCGATTGCTGCAGAACAAGATCGAGAACGAGAACGGTCAACAGATTCGCCGACCTCCGACCCGACCCAGGACGTTCGATGTCTGGATCTGTCCGGGAGGGGGTCCCCGAGAGTCCCGACCCCTTCCCCGACGGCGGCTGTTCCGTCCCGAGCCGTGCTGTTGGCGGTCCCTGGGCCTGGCCAGGGCCCCGCGGAGGCCGAAAATGGGCAAGAACCTCACGTCGCGATGCGGTTCACGACGTGAGGGGTTCTGGGGGGCCCCGAGATCTGACGCTGCATCAGCGATCAGAGACCTGCTGATACTGCACGTCCTCCTTGGAGGCGCGCGTCCGCCCCGAGCATGTAGTACACCCATCTTGCAGTACATCGTTTCCCGAGCGGTGTGGCCAGAAAGCGCCCGCCACGACGTATACACTAGAAGATTTCTCGGTGCGCGCATCGCCCCCGGGGGGGCGACGCACATGTAGTAGAAGTATGTTGGGGTGACGCCGCAGCAACGTCGTGGAAAATAACAGCCATAGCCATACAGCCCATATTTCTGCACCGTTTTTCGAACCCCGCTCCAACCAGGGGCGCGAATGTCGTCGTCGTCGTCGTCGTTGTTGCCGG